AGGAGCTGGTGTCTCAGTCAGTGTGGGAATTGCCCCACAAATCCCCACCTYGCTGGAAATAGTGCTTCTCAAGCTGAGCGTTATTTTTTGCTAAGTAGACACTGTSACAGCTGTTGGTCATTCTGCAGTACTTTCTGCTAGACTTTATTTTTGAGCTGGGGAAAAAACCCTGCGCACACTGTTAGCTCAGACAGGTGATAATGTGCCTGTCTTAGGTGATCAAAAAGACACTTGGTATTATTACTATGCCTGCAGATAATTTAGGATTCATTAAAGTAAATGTTCAGGGGGAAAAAGTGCGTGACTGCAGTTTAACATCATGATGATTACRGCATCCCTGGCTCTAGCAGGCAAGTCGGGAACATTGTAGCTCAGCATTTTCTGGATTGTAGGGATCTATCTGTTGGCTTAGGCTTTGCAAAAATGTAAGTGGTATTCACAATTGCACTTGGCAACGAGCTGCTTCTTTCTGATACAAATCCAAATGCTAGGGTTATAATTACTGTGAGTGTTGCATCCTGCAATCTGGAAGCATAAGCAACATGCATTGGTCTGGTCTTCACAAAGAAATTGTTGAGGGCGGCAGTGGCCATCCCTGAGGAATCTTCCCATGACCTTGAATTATGTACTAAGCCCACATCTATGTAATCTCCTCTGGATACCGTTTCATTTTGCCTGCAATGACTGTATTAGACACCATTGCAGATGGACTCTGCAGGCTCATGCTGTTCCAGACATAAGATGTGGGATTCATCATCTTCCAGGGACTAATTTTAAACACTTAAACYAAAATGGAAGACCTTCAATAGGGGAGAGATGTCCTTGAAAATGGATGGTCTTTTATRGGGTAGTCTTGTAGGTCATCTTATACTCCTTGTAATGATCAAGGGAGAGAACAAACCTTGAGTTTTGGGAGAAGCAGCATAAGTAGCAGCATAAGGATTATGAAATCCTTTTTTAGAAGGCCTGATCCTGGCAGTGATTTGTGTAGATGCATACCAGATCAAGCCAGAGYAAAGCCAGAGAGGCAGACAACACCTAGACACCTAAAAACATATYCCATTAATGCTCACGGTGACTGAGAGGGGTTGCCTAAATTTGAGGCCAGCATGCCTCAGATGACAACTAAAGGTATGARTCACTTTGTGAGCCTGCCTGTATGCTGTTGGCATTGAAGGGTTCCTTGTTGCCAGCTGCCAAGAGTAATCCTGCATGAGGGGTGGACGATGGACACCTCACAGGCCAAAACAGCACTTGAAATCAGCTGGACTCAGTGGTTGAGAACTAAAGCTAAAATCCCAGCTGAAAGTTTGGGCCATGTGTAAAGTACCTGAGTAAACTGGGGAGAAATTGTTTTAAAGGAACAGAGCAGAGGGAGATACCTATGTGCATGCCTTGCATTTCAGTATTGGGATGCAGCTTTTGATTGAGTTTTTTTCTGGTGGGTAACACAGTGTGTGCTTACAAAAAATACATTTGAAAAAACGTGGATGCTACACAGTATTCTTGGGGTGAACTTTTTTTTTGCCATAAGCAATTTGATGAGTTTTTCTGTAAAATTTTATTAACAACAGTCTGCGTAGGTGAATTTCCTATGCCAAACATTTTGTCTTACAAACATATAGTCACAGAGATTCTTACGCAAGATGCAGGTAAGGTCAAAGTCTTAATTTTGTCTTAATTTTTTGTTAGGAAAAAGGCCCCTAAAAACTGAACACATCTCAAAATACTTCTCTCTAYATTTTAGTTTTGCACTGTATTATCAATTTGACACAGCAGAAGAATTTTCAGCTGAAGACAGAGGGAATTCCATATGGACAGACTTGCTCTTTCTGGCCTGTGTGACCCTGCACATGTATTTATATGTATGTCATTTAGAGAAGAAAAAGGTGAACTATACCCTCTTTGTTGAACTGTACCCTAGTTAGAAAAGACTCTCAGCTTGAGAAAACATTATTTTCAGCTTGAGAAACATTATTTTCAGCTTGAGAGCTTAGCTTTGTAATAAACTCAAAGTTAAGTGAAGTCAGAGGAAGACTGGCTGTGTGCTCAGCATCTGTAGGTAGAGTCTCATTTCCAGTTTATTCTATAAACAGACTCTTTTCTTCCGTTATTTAAAACTGCTCAGCTGCTTCTCCACAAGAAAACAGCAAAGGCAATTGACCACAGTCTTGGTCACATAAGTAGTTCTTGTCTCAAAAGCTAGTTCGTATTCAGTGCTGTCCTAGTTTTTCTTTTCTCAGTCCCATAAAGATCCTTCTCAGAGTTGAAGAAAGTCCAATTAGTGAGCACTGGAATCAGAGTGCGAGCAAAAAAAAGTACTATATATATATATATATATATATATATATATATATATATATAGTGTACTGCTGCAAAATTACAGATAAATATTTACATACCTTTTAATGTTCCTTCACATTCTCTTAAGCTGTCGGGTTTTTCTCTAATCTTCATTTGACCATTTCAAGCATGACTAACATATTTTTACACTTCCAACATCTACTCTGTAAAAACAGTGAACATGAAGGTGCAGGTGGCTGAGCTGAGTTCAAAAGATTAATTTGCCGAGGAGAACTAGGACTTTCCRACTGTATTTCTGTGCTTGAGTTTCTTAATAAAGCCACCGTGTTATCCTGAACTTAGGCTAACTCCATGGTTACAGCGGTGTCGATTAACCAGAGTGTCAAAGAACCGCTCAGCCTGAAGCAGCCAATACAGGGATTTTTATTTTCCTCTCCTCTTTATCCAAGCATGGAAAAAGGGGCAGGTTGCTACGTATTCTTGTTCCACCTTATCTAAATATATTGATCACTTCCTCCGGACTCTTATCTGTTTGCTCTGCAGTGACTGTGGTTCATTCACGCTGGGATTGCAGGGAAGCTGAATGGATACAGCCACGTGAGAGGTGCTGGTGGGCTGGTTCAAGCCCGGTGACACTGTGCCTGGCTTCGCTTTTGTTTCTTCTGGCTGCTTGTTTGACATCCGCCAGCCTCCCTGTTCATTAAGGCGGCTTGATGAATGGGAGGCAGCGAGTGTAATTCGGGCTGTTAGGGCCACCTGGTTCATAAATATAACAAACATCCACCAGTGCATCTCTTCCAGCACCACATGCATCAGTGAAGTGAAACTGGGTGATAGTGAATGGAAATCTTAAATTGATGCGAAGATTCTAGCAGTTTCCAGAGTCATGCTGGCTTGTCTTGCCCCAGCCTTTTTAAGGCCCGTAAAAACCATTTTCAAAGGTGGGGTTCCCCCAGGAACAGAGACTGCATTCATGTTTGTGCAGAGGACATATGGTTGTGCTAGTTTTTACACTGGGATAACTTCATTAGAGTACATGCTGCACTACCCCAAGGGTGAGTGTACCCAGCCACKGTGTTTTTTGTGCCATTTGTGCACCACGTGTGTGGCACAAGTAATGTGCTGCGGAAGGCAGGAGAAGGGTCTCTTGCATCACTRGCAGTCCTTGTGCAGAGGGGAGAAAGCTCAGCCCACAGGAGACTAAACATCACGTGATTTAATCACCAGCTTTGCACTTACTGCTCCCAGCCTGTGCCTTTTCCTGAGCCGAGCTCTGCCAGACCCAACCTGAGCCGGGCTGCAGTGGACAGAGCTGCGGAGCCGTCGGGAGTCGGAAGCACAGACATCCCGTTGGTGCACAGGACTGGATAACACTGACTCAGAGATGTGACCTTGGACTYAGCACTGATCAGTGAAAGCAGTGCTCACAGTGGATGGGAGCAGCCCCGCGCTGGCCAGTGAGGATAATGTCTTTAGCAGACTTTGCATCATGAAGCAGTTAATGAATTCTTTTGTAGTGAAGGGCTGGATTCAATAAAAAGTTTCTGGGGCAAGTTACCATAGCTTGCCATACTACAGTGCGTCAGGCAGAACTTTTTTTTCTTTTTCCCCTTTTAATTTATTTTTTTCTTCCCCTTTTAATTTTAAATTGAGTGCAGCTGACTGCCTCCAATGCTGTTAACAATGGCACTTCTTTCTCTGGGACAATGTAACATTTAAAACAGATAAAAGCTCATGTGGGGCTAATAAAAGTTTGCCCCCATCCTCATTCCTGTAGGGCAAGTTTCCTCATCGTTAACATTTTAAGTAGCAGGCACTATGAATATTAATGTAATTGACTTTTACACACTATTACTCATCAGCGGGTAACTCCGAACAGGCGTCACTGGAGGGATGTGCTGAATCTCAAAGAAACTCTGTGGCCCAGCAGCAGGGGAGCAATGTGGAGCCTTGTGAGATGAATCCTCAGCGGGGACTGGGAGGTCAGTGGGTGAATAATTGTGGGGAGCAGAGTGCTGGGCTGGCAGCCCAGCTGCCCCAGTCCAGCAAGAGCAGCAAAATGGGAGGACACACACAGAAGTGACACTCAGCAGCCTGTGTGCTCCTTCTGGTGGCTGATGGGGAGAGGGAATGAGTCAGTGAGTTGGAGTTCCAGATTTTCCATCTGAATTGCTTGTAAGGTGGGTTAGGGGTCCAAAACCCTCTGAGCGCTGTTCTTTTGTCCGTATCAGGGACAAGGAAAAGCATATGACCTGCATACCTTCTTGCATGGAGAGTACACATTGAATACTAACAAAAATCATTATTAGCAACATTATGATTTTGAAGCCACTATAAAAGTGTTTGGTTTTATAAATGCACTTTGAGGTGACTTCTCTCCTGAACAGTTTCTGCATGATATATATGTGCTTTTACACAATCGGTCTAAATTCTCCTTCAGTCAGCAAACCAAATCATTTTAAAATGGTCTCTGTGTTGCAGGGATGTGTTTTGACTGTCCTCCCTGCAGTGCTCAATCCAGAACATCCATGACTTTTCCTTCCTGAGTCTTCCTTTGCCTTTGGTGATTTTTGGATATTAAACTTCATTTTGCTTTGCATATCCATGCATGTCTRTGAGAGGGATTTTATTTATTTGTTTGTTTATTTATTTATTTATTTATTTATTTATTTATTTATTTATTTATTAAAGCCACAATCAGTGSTATGATGGGAAGGTGCCTGTGCTCCTTTCCATCAGCTCTTGCTAGTCTCCTTGTTGCTGGACAGTTCTTGGTTCCCCCCTCAGTTGCTCTTGGCTGTAGCGAGCAAACCTGTCCAGCAGCAGGGGCTGAGCCCCTGCCCTGTCCTTACCACAAAAAACACACRTGGGTAACAGGACCAAAGAGTTGGTACATTATGCAGTGTTTATGTTTACAAATTTRGAAATATGATTGCTCCCCACCAGTGTTTTACCAATTATGCATTTCAGCCAAAGCAGGAATGAGTCATTTTTATATTGCTCATAGAAAATTAAAAAAGGCTTAAACACCCACAAAATTTGCTTACTCTTCAGGTGTAGCCCCCGGAAGGGTGAGGACAGCTTCCGCCGTATTCTGGTTGGAAACATCACTGACATGACTATTGGGAAGTTGAACTGTCCCAAAAGAGTGATAGGTGATGTGCAAAAAAATATGGAAAAGGCCATGAGGTCAGATCTTGAGGACAACTTAAAAAAAAAATGCTGGGTTGCAAAAAGAGTGCTTGACTTCAGTAAGACCTTTTCATGACATTGCCTGGCGACGCTATGTGGTGTTTGTAGAATTAAGCCAGTCTTTGTCCACAAAGATAGGAAGTCGGATCTCTTGATGCACTGCGGCCACTGATACAGATGGTCGTTTTGTTCAGAACAACATGCACAAAAGTATCCCAGAGGTGCAGCTCAAAATACCCACATTGCTCTCGTGTGTCACTCCCTCTCTTTCCATTAATGCAAAATGACTCACAGGCTTGAAAAGGCAAACATTGATCAAAAGACCGAAGAGTGATTTACTGGTGCAGAATGGGACAAGATGTTGTTTTAGCCCAACAAACAGTAACTGCATTTAAAGGCATTGCCAAGGGAGTCCAAGGCGGTGCTTGCTTACTAAATTGGGTAAAATGCAGGGATTTCACCAAATGCAAATGACAATGAACAATATGTATGACTCAATATATCCGCTATGCTTTCAATGTGCAGTCAGAGGGTGGTATAGCTGACCTTTTAAAGTGATGCTTTTCAAACCACATTGTTATGATTATCAAAGTGTTCATTTCAGAGTACAATATTTGGGTCCASTCCCGTTAATTTTCTAGTGTATCATTTGAAGGCTGTTTTGCCCTCTGTTTATAAGAAAAGCACTTCCAGRAAACCCCTAGAGTGTCATGCATTTATTTCTATGTCTAACCAGGGACTGAAACTTGCCATCAGTTCTCCGAGGCTTGACACCTCTGGAGTACTTAAGTCATGTAAGGAATTAGCTAAAATAAGTTTGTTGGTGATTTTGTGAGACCTTCCTGTGTGCCAGAAATAGTCTTCAAGAACAATGTAGGGCGAGAAATATTCTCTGCTCTTTAGCCTCAGCTTCCTCCTATCTAAAAGCTGTCGGTGGCATCTMTGGCCATGCAGAGCAGATCCCAGAACAGCTGTGGGGTGATTCCAGTTTTGCACTACTGTAAGGGAAAGAAAATAATCTGGCATCAGATTTATAAATTTAAGTGTAGAAAAGGCTAAAAAAAAAATAAAACAATAGCAGCACATAGTCAGCCCAAAGCCAGCAAGCAGACTGGAACAAGGCCCCCGCAAATCCAAGAGAGGCAGTTTTACTGGGATGCATTTCCTCTCCGTCCTCCATCAGCCAAGCCAAAAACTTAACAGGAAAAAAATAAAAAGGAAGCCGTACAGAGTAATTTGGCTGCACAATTGGCTGCACTCCTCACAGATAAATAGCCTGGGCCCAGCTTCTCCACGGTTTGGGGACTCAGTGCCATGCAGTGCTCAGGGGGGCCGAGATGCTGCTGCCGTGACCAGCGATGGCCAYCACCCTGCTTCCCACAGCACTGCTCATCCCTGAGCAGTCACYCCTCTGGCCTGAGGGGTCTGGGACAGGCTGGGCCAACCACAGTGAAAGTACAACTTTCCTGGAGCATGAGCTGCGATGCTCAGGTACCCCATCGGGTCAAGAGTTAAGTACTAAAACATAGCAGAAATTCTGTCGGGTTGAGGACACCTTATTTTGATCATGGAGGTCAGACACAGATGTGGGAATTCCCCCAAGCTGGTTTATTTGCAGATTTGTTCAGACAGTTTCTTTTTTTCTTTTTCTTTTTTTTTTTTTTTTTTGTGACAGATCAGCCTGTTTTTTATAATAATCTCATCTTGAAACTTGAGGGGAAGGGAATGTATGGGTGAGCAGCTAATATCAGTGAGTTCTGGAAACTCCCTTTTTATGGTCTCTCTCATTTAGCAGCTGTTATGATACTTTCATTGCATTAAAAACTTAGTTGACAAGACCGACAATAAATTAACCTCATCTCTTYCAGTAAAATTAGCTTCAGTTCACAGTAAGTTTGAGAAAAACATACTAAATAATATTAATATGCAGACAACAGGTCTTTGAYCTAATATATCATGAAGAAATAAAGCATCAGAGGTGTTACGATCAGAGAAGACGATGTTATTTGCCTTCTTCTTTACTGATTATTCCCCTGGTTCGAACATTATTTTAGGATTGTATATGTAGGACCTAGTGACTCATAGATGCAAACATCGGTTTAAAATTAATTTAAAAATATCTCTTTATACAAAGCAATATATTTACTGATTTAAATCATACCCATCTGGACATGTTTATCAAAATCAATCCGTGTCTRCTATAAGCCATTTGCTGCCATTGCCACCCACTGGCCAGGGACAAACAACCATCCTGTTACTGACCCAGATCAACAAATATCCTGATTAAACAGACACATCCAACTGCTTTCTATACAGCATCTTGCCTTTATTAGAAAATCTGGCCAGCTTTGTGCAAAATTTATTTACTGATTTTATCTTTAAAACATAAGTCATAGTCTGGGAAGGAGGGGGCAGGGGGAGCCTGTTCTGCAGACCGTGAACTCTGATCTGATAGTTTCATCCTTCTGTCATCTCTTTAAATGTAGTATCTAAAAACTGAAGGATCTTATCCTTTTATGTTTCTGTAAAACAAGACAGAGTTTGGAAAATATGTAGTAAAATAATGAAACTTTACAGACTGTAGGGAGCCATTTTTCTCACATAGGGGTCAGCATATATGGTAATTCTTTGGATTAAGGATGAAATTACTACAGGACCGTAATAACTGACCTTGTTAATCTCTTCTCATTTTCTTAGGAGTAGCTGAAGAAGAAATATTACAGCAATCACAAGCTTAACATTGGAATCTTTCTCTACTTTAATCACAGTTCTTTATATACTGTRATTTTGTGTGTTATTTTGTCCTAATATTGCCAACAATTTTATTAATGTCTGTTGTTGGTTGGTTTACCACCTTCCTTCACAAATTTTAGGCCTCAATATTTATGCCTTTGAAACAAATTTGGAAAACTGATACAAATATGACTTTTYCTAGCAGAGTTGCTCTTCACTTAGGTAAACAAAAGCTAAACCAGGCCCTGGGACTTCTCTTCCCTGTGCCTTTCGGTACCATACCAGGTTCACACCACCAATGCTGAGATAGCCTTCTCAACAAATGAAAGGCAAAGAAAGGCAATAATGTTTTGTTGTCTGCAGCATTAGTAAGGGGGAAGGAGGAGAAGAACCTAGCAGAACAACTGCATCTTTTGTTTTTAAGTTCTTTGGGACAATTCTGCCAGGCAGCGCGTTTTCCCTCTGTTTCATTTGTCTTTGTTATTTTCCTATCTAATTAAAATTCTGCAATGCCGTCATGAAATTGTTGTCCGTTTAAGGTCACAAACAGCTTCTGTCCTAATGAAATATGAATTGCATTAGTTAATTGAATTGTGCACTTATTGTGTGTTGTGAATGAACTGAGCACACTTATATTCTTAACATATACGGAGCGTGTTATCAGTTTACACAGTGTGTGAACGCTGAAAATGCTGCTATCATTCTTTGCATCACAATAGGGAGATTTAATTTGCAATAGACGGGACTAAGAAGTGTTTGTGAAGGACAAGAAATCTAAAATCTCACAAAGGCATCTGTAGCTGGGATGACATCGGCTCTTCAGTGGTCTGGGGTCAGGGCACAGTCCCGAGCGGAAAACTCRAATAAACCCTTATTATGCACGGTGTCTCTGTGATGTCTGTCAAGATAGGAAGAACCAAGGGAGAATAACGAAGCATCTGTGGCCTTCTGCAGCAGGAGGCTCTCTGGGTTAAATGAACCTCGTAATTGAAACCCTTGGTACACGGTCCAGACCGTTCTCTTCCAGGGTCTGCCCGGTCTCTGTGCAGATACTACCCCTACACCCCAGTAACACAACATGCTGAGCTCTGGGGTCCTTTTCACAGCTAGAAGGCTCTTTCTTTGAACTGTGGGAAGGTTCAATTTAGGATGTCGAGGACCTGATCAAAGTCAAATGAAAACATGGGAACTCTTTCTGCTCCCCTCAAGGCTGTGGATGAAGCAGGTGCTTACGGGAAGTGCAGGCTTTGGCACTCACTCAGCCTTTTAAAATGTGTAAGATGGATGCTTTGCATCAGTAACCACTCAGTGGTGGACTCTACTAATGAACCAGACTATTTCAGAGGATGGTCATTAGCTGGGAAAACAGTAACAGAATACTAGATTTAATTTCCTTGCATGGGTCTTGATTTTTTGCTTAGTTCTTCAGACTGTTCAGCGTTACACATAGATATACATGTACTGTTGTATATATACACATATGTGTAAAATGCATATGTATACATATATATATGTATATCTCTAATGACTTAGCTATCAGATTTATTTACAAGGGAAAGTAACTTTGCATGCTGCATAATATTTCTGTAAGGTAGTAAATCTGAATATAGTACCTTCCAGATACTCTTGAACTTGACAGGCGTGGAGAGGAATCTATTGTTCTGTCAAATAGTGCCTCCCTTAGCTCGAAATGGTACTTCATTCAACACTAGGCTGAAAGAAAAGATAAGTGATGTTCAGGTTGAAGAGTTGTTGAGAAATTTCTTCTTGTTGTCATTTTCCACTAAAAAACTGAGGAGATATGCAAATGGCATTTTCTTTTACTACAGCAAACTAACGCGGGAGTATAAAACCACTTAAGATAAACACAGCTAGAAACTGACTTGCCACAATAYACAATTCCCAAAGGGAAATACCATGACCCTTTTTACAAGAGAAACAGAGAGGAGAGTGACTGTGCTTGATCTCAGCAGTCATGGACACCCACTTTGCGGGGACTTCCCAGCTCTGTGTGCACACAGAGGCACTTGTCGTTTCCCACTGTGGGTGATCCTCTGCAGCTGCTGTGGCACTCACCTTCCAGGAACACTTCTCCATGGGCCCCAGACAAGCGCTCTGTTACCACCACCCACAGATGATGCACTGAGATACAGAGATTAAGTGTGTGATTCTGGTTCAGGGAGGTAGGCAAGGACTTTCCCTGTAGGCTCAACAGATGAGAAGGGAGGTTTTTTTCGGAGGGCAGCGTGGGGACAGTCACATTAGGTGGCGGCTTCTCTGAATCACCTGGAAGAGTTTCTTTCTTTCTCCATCATTGTAATTACTGAACCTAAGGGGACCTGCCTCTGGGTGTAGTTGTTGCATTACAGAAGTGCTTCAAGCAGATGAGTTTCCTGCACTCTTCAGCTGCTCCGAGACAGTCATACCTGCTTAAACTTCTGACTGAGGAATTTCCCACCTAGTGCCCATATCACTTGGTTCTCCTCTCTCTCTGAATTTTCTGCATTGGCCRTAGTCCCGAGAGCTGTAGCTGAGCAGCTGCTGAATATCCCTGCCCGCATGAAAGGGTTCATGAGGTGATTCAGAAGAGGTGGGTGTCTGTAATGGTTTGGTGAAGTGCGTCCTGACAGAATCACAGGCAGTGGGCAGATGACTGAGAGTGAAAGTGGTGGGATGGGGCATGAAGGGTGATTGGCAGTGGTTGCTTAGCGGTCTGAAAAGGGGTGAGTGAAAGTACTCGGGGGAGGGGAGTTTGGGAAGCATGGCTGATGGTGAGAAAGATACTATGACGTTTCCCCGTGGCACCCTACAGGTGTACAAGCTGCATTCTCTTCCGTGAACCAGTTTTAAAAGACTCAATGCCATTAAAAATGCTCACGTACTTCTATCTAAATTATATAATGTAGAGCTGCATAATTAAGCAGGGGAGGAAATGAAAGAGATTCAAGGAAGGCTGAAAAATAAAAATAAACTGAGGAGTCCTCTAGGGAGAGTAGAGAAGAAGCAAATACTGATAAAGTCGTGCAGACTGAGGTGGCTTTGCTGTCTTCCGTAGCACCACCACATGAAGGGAGACAGTCTGTGTCCCTGCTCCTACAGGTGGCCTTCCATGAGCCACCTGCACTCAGCCTGGCCCTCTGGCCCTGGCTCCAACCACAGGATCCAGTTGCCCATCCAAGGTGTGRTGAAGTCTTATCGGCCCCGGCACCATAAGCCACACTTCTGTGGCCTCTTCCAGCATTGGCTCCAGCCTCAAACAGAGCAGGAATGCAGGGGTGGTCCCCAGAGCAGCCAGGAAGAGCGTCCTCCCCTGCTGTGATTAATTCAGTTAAAAACCCATGACTGACCCGTCACAGCGTCTGTGGCTTGACAAAGGATTGAAGGCAGCCCTATATAAACCGTAGCATTTTATACCCTGGCACATGGTTAAATTCCATATTGTTACCATGTTGTTTAGCTTTATTTTCAGTTAAGTAAGGAACACAGCAATCTTTTTTCTTTTTT